TTTCGTTTTTCCGTTTTTGTTCCTTTTCTTTCCTTTTTCCTTTTTTCCTTTTTCCTTTTTCCTTTACTTTTTTTTTTCGTTTTTTTTTTCTAGTTTTTCCTTTTGTTCCGTTTTTTTTACCCCCCCCCCCCCCTTTTTTTTGTATCTTTCTTTTTCTTCTCCTTTTTCATCATTTTTTTTCATTTCATTTTTTCAATCAATCTTTTTTTTCACTAACACTCTCAGGTTCCAAAGAGGGTAATCAAAGAAAGGTAACCGGCTCAAAGGGTTGGCAAGGGATTATAGTGTTTGGGTAGCGAGAAAGAAAGCCTTCTTCATCCCAATCGGAGAACATTAATGCTATATAGAGGATCCAACATAGTACCTTTGACTGCATTTGCATTGACACTTGTTTTAGGGACATTTCCTTCAATGTGTCCTAAGTACAATGCACTCTTTTGGCGGTACTCTTGTTACCATGTATGGACCTCTCCAAATTAGAGCCATTTTTCCTTCAATTGTTCCAACTCTTTGTTTTGTTTCCTCAAACTTATCTTCTTTGCATTTTGACCCTTGATTCATTATTTCGAGGTCTGCCAGCGTTTTGGAATCTGGGCATGAAGTCCGCAAGCATGTCATGTTATTTAAAGCCGCATTATTAGAACTGAAAGAAGAAATAAGAAAAGTAACAAAAATCAGAAAGAATAAAGAGAGAAATTCATGAAAGATGAAATATTGATTTCATTTCATTGAATTTTGAAGATAACAGGGTTTAAATTTGGAATTTAAAGACAATAAACTAAAGGAAACATCCGAGTTACACCCTGGAATAACTCATGATGTAGAAAAGGTGGCAAGACTGGACTACCGGGATTCCCGCCTGATTGGGAACGGAGTAGCCTTCCAGTTTTGTAACTTGGCATTGGGCCCCATATACAGCACCTCAGCGGTGCTTGAGCCTTCTACCGGCTGAACCATGTGTGTTTCATACAACATCTGTCTTATAGCCCCACATATTTCTTCAATTTCTTCGGCCGTGAAGGCCTCATCTTGCTTTTCTGTGTACTTGGGCTTGACGAATGTTTCAAACAGATGCGGGATTGGCTGAGGCAAGACCCAACCATTGTTCTTCCGCTTATTTGCCCATGTTTCATCAGCTGGCGTGGCCTGAAACCCCATACCAAAGAACTTCTCGCTAGCAGCCAGAGTGATAGGTTCTGTGATACCTTGCAATGATATCTCGAGCCCCTTCCCAGGCTTATATCCATGCCTAATCATTTCCTTGGCAACCATAATTGACGCATTTGAGAGAAAGGGTTGAGGACACGGGCTTCCTTCTTCACATTGGTCGGCGACTACAGCCTCGAAAGCCTGATAGACTATATGTTCGCTACCTTCCCTTGCTTCAAGACATGGGACTGACGAGTCCCGATAAATTGATTGCTCGTCCTCTCCGTGGACTACGATCTCCTGATCTTCATATTCAAATTTCACCATCTAGTGGAGATTGGAAGATACGGCCCCCGCCGCGTAATCCAAGGCCTTCCCAAGAGGAAATTATAAGAAGTGTCCATGTCTAGGACCTAAAATGTCACCTCAAAATCCAAGGACCAATAGTCAAAATCAAATCGATCTCGCCTATGGTGTCTCTCTTGATGCCATTAACGGCATGCACGCAGACATTGTTAGGCCTGATTCTCTCAGTTCCAATCTCCAATTCTTTGCAAAGTTGAAAGAGGGCAGATATCAACTCCGGATCCGCCATCCAGCATGACCCTTTTCACATAGTACCCCTCATATTTAACTGTTAGATGAAGGGCTTTGTTGTGGGCAGCCCCTTCAGGAGGCAAATCATTCTTGCTAAATGAGATCTGGTTGATTGCGAAGAATCTTTCCACCATCCTTTCCAGTTGTTCAACAGTGGTTTCAATCGGAACATAAGCTTCATTGAGGGTTTTTATCAACACTTTCTGATGCTCGGTTGAGCTCACCAGTAGGTACAAGAGTGAGACCTTTGGAGGAGACTTCCGAAGTTGGTCTATAACCTCGTAGTCCGCAGTTTTCATTTTACGGAAGAATTCTTCGGCCTCCTCGACACTAACAGGCTTCTTGGGTGGGAAGCGCTTCTTCTTGGCCTTGTTTTTTTTTTAATTTTCATCCACTAGGCATTGTGCCTAGGGCTGATTTTATAAAAACTAAACAAGATACAACATTGGAGGGGGGCATAGACCTGACCTCCAAAGATATAGTACAAAGGCACTTGTTCATGTAGATATTGACCAGGTAGAACCTGAAAACTGTGGTGAGTTAGACCTATAATGATGATCCAATTGACTATCAAACAATGATAGTCAATTGGGTATACAAAATCATAGTGAAGTAAACCTAGGTCAACTATACAAAAACTGCACAAGAAACCTAATTCTACCAAAGGTTTGAGTTGGAAGGATAACTTCCATATACAAACAAATCTACATTTAGTAAAAATGCAGAAATCCCTTGGAGGTGGCAAAAAAACAAGTATGTTTATAAGGGACCATCTTCAACCTTGATTTGACATTGAAAGCAAAGAAAGCTAAGGTGAAGATAGGTGGCAAAAGAGGCCTCAGAAGTGGACATCTGGGAGGCTGCTCCATGCTGATGACAGAAGAGAGTGAGCATATGTATGTTTCAGAAATTACAGCATGCTTGAAGTGAGAGTTGTTGCCTGTAAGGTGTGAATTTCTATAGCACTGTTGGAATGTGCTTAAGGAATTGACATGCTGGTGCAAAAGTGACTGGCATCCAAGGGTGAGGCAGTCTTGTGTGTGAGTATTCTGTAGACAGCATTAGTGAGTGAGTGAGAACTGTGGCAAACTGTGCATTTCCATCAAAATGAGCACCATGGGTGCTGATAGCACTGCTTGAAAAGGCACATTTTGCCCAATTCTGCACCTTGTACTTGCAAAAATTAGCAAACAAGTTAAAGAGAGGGGGGGCTCATTTTCCAGGTTCTTGTGTGGACTGGGCATGAGTCTGGGGATAGGGGGAAATTGTGACCCCTGATTGATGAAAAGGAACTGGTTGCAGGTTCTTGTGTTGGCTGCAACCAGTGTTTTTGTTATCTCTGGTGGGAGGGTGGTGTTGGTGGGATTGTTGACCACAATGGCAATCTTGAGAGGAGAGGTAAGACTGCACAAGTATGGCAAAGATCCAGGAATCACACTCTGCACAATCTGCAGCTGTAGTTGCTGAGTTCTTGCATCTGCTTTCATCAGCTAAAGATGTTGCTTTCTGCAGTTCCTGATGCATCTGTGAGGAGATGTTTCTGGTGAGGTGATGCCACATGCTCAAGTGGTATGATTCTGGGAGAATGGGCAGCAATGATACCAATACCACTCCCAGAAGACATAACACTTGAGCATAGAAAGAGAACACCTGCAAAACAAGAAACATAGTTAGATAAAACAGGGGGTTGCATACTGTCAGGTTCTTGTGTGAAATGCAGTATGGTGTTTGGTTGTTGCTAAATTCAGAAGGATATTGAGCAACTAGACAATTGTGGAGGGGGGAAGCAGGGAAGGTTGGTTGTGGCTGATTTCCTGATACTACAGGTTGCAGGAGAAATAGTTTCTGTATTTTTTGTATTAAGAGTTGCTGCTTGTTTTTCGGGAGTGTGGATGGAACCTACAGATATAGAGGAGGAGATTTCTTTGGCTCTGTAGTTTCCTAGGTTCTCAAGAGGATGTAAGGGGGGGCCATGTGGGAAGGGTTGATCTTAGGTTCTTGTGGATTCTAGGATAGAAACCTGCAAACAGGAAACAAACATTAGTAGAAAACTGGGCACATTTGCCCTTTGCTCTGTTTTTGTTGTGACTGTGGGAGTGACATTCCTTTTGTGCTGTGGGATTTCTGGTCATTGTGGTGCTTGGGTGTGTGTTTTTGGAGGGAAGGTGGACTGTTGTTAGGGCTCCCAGAGGAAGGATTCATCCATAGCCATGTGAAGAAGAGTTACAGGAGGAAGTAGAGGCTGCATGATTGGAGGGTAGTCTGATTTTAGTGGATTTCCTATGCCTGAAAGCAGGGGTGTCTATGGAATCATGATATACCTGTCCCCTGATATGGTTAGGAAGAGATGAAAGGTTGTTAAAGCTGGTAAGGCTGGGGAGTTCGTGGCTAAGCTTAGAGAGGGAGTCAGCTAGACAATTGGCCTCTCTATAGACATGAGTGGATATGAAATTTTCACATTGGGAGCACAGATTCTTTAAGTGTAGCAGTTTCATGTGAAGAGGCCATGGGGGTTCACTTTTGTTGTTTAGCCATTGGATTAGCAGAGTAGAATCAGATTCTAGGTGAATGCTGGTGAAGCCATTGGATAGACATCGTTGGATGCCTAGGATAGCAGCTTCAGTTTCAGCAATGTTATTGGTACCCTCTCCCAGAGGAGCTGCAATGGCATGAACAAATTCACTAGATTGTCCCCTGATAATCACCCCAGCTCCTATCCTTCCTGGATTATTTAAAGCACTCCCATCACTGTTGATCTTCACATAGGGAGCAAGAGGTTTGGTCCAAATGACTTGGGTACAAGAGGTCATGTGGGTGATCTGCTCAAGGAGGGGGTACAATTGGATCCATTTGGTAGGCCATTTGATTTCAGGGTAAGTTTGCTCTCAAGAGCAGGTTGATGTCTGAATTAATTGCAAAGAGGACCCTGGTAAGAGATGATGGTTTTGATCCATATCTAGCACTACACTTATTTTTCCATCGATTCCAACAAATAATTATAGGCATGGTGTCTAGGGTCAATCTGTGGACAGAATTATGATTCTTGTGAATCTACCATTTCATTAGCAGCATTCTTAAAGGTATGTCTTCTGTGTGTATGCCTGCAATGCTCCCATATTTTTTCCAAACAATCCTTGCAAAGTTTCCCAAACTGAAAATGTTCTCAACTGTTTCATTAGCATACGTGGAGCAACATACACACCTAGAGACTGTTGGGTTGCTGAACATGAGGACCCTGTCATCAGTTGGAAGTTTATTCCTTAAAGCTCTCCATAAGCAAAAGGACCATTTGAAGGGAATTTTCTTGTGCCAAGTCATTATATTGGATATATTGGGTTGTCTTTTTGTTCTCAGCAGTTCCCAAGCAGACGCACAAGTGAATTTCCCTGTTATGGTTGGTTTCCATATGGCTTTATCAGGGGTATTGGGGCTAAAATGAATGGTGGTTTGAATGATCTGAGGGATTTTATGGGGAGGGGCTATTTCATTGAGCTTCTGAAGGTTCCATTGATCACCTTCCCAGAAATAGGATATAGTTAACTTGCCAGGTCTGCCTCTTGTAGTTCTTTGGAGAGCCAAAGGGCCATCTCCTAGCCACTTGTCCCACCAGAAACTGCTAGAGCCAGAATGGAGCCTCCAAATAATAGCCTTCTCAGCATCTTTCTTGTTGTACATCATCCTCTTCCAAGCTTGGGATTGCCTAGATTCCCATTTTCTTTTGATGGGATGGGATCTTTGACAGTTTTTGGCCTTAAGGAAGGAACTCCAAAGGGAATCATTGGTTCTAAAGCGCCACCATTGCTTAAACTCCATAGCTTTGCATACTTCAGCAATTGATTTGAAACCAATTCCTCCCTCATTGACAGGATAGGATAATTTATGCCAAGAGGCCCAGTGGTACTTGAGTTTGTCCTTTTCCATGCCCCAAAAGAAATTAGCCATCAGCCTCTCAATCTGCTTCATCACTATTTTAGGAGGGGAAATGGCTGATAGAAGGTGAATAGGTAAGGATTGTAGAACATATTTGATTAGAGTTGCCCTTCCTCCATATGAAAGCATCTTCCCATGCCACCCTTTAGTTCTCCCCACCACTTTAGCAATGAGATTATTGAAGTGAGAAATTCTAAGCCTTCCTATGTACAGAGGACATCCCAAATAGGTTAAGGGTGAGGCTTTTCTTGTGAAACCAGTGAGAGAGTGGATTTTTCTCACAGTAGACTGCCTAACACAAGCTGCTGTCATGAAGTGACTTTTGCTCTTGTTGATTTGTTTTCCTGAAATGTCTTCATATGTTTTCAGAATCCACATGATCCTTTTCAGTGATGATCTGCTTCCTGATGAGAAAATAATGATATCATCTGCAAAGCTGAGATGATTGATCTGGGGGTCTCTTCTCTGCATATAAAACCCATTGAAGAACTGATCATTGGTAAGCATGTTGAGCATTCTGGAAAGCAATTCTGCCCCTAGTATGAAGAGGGAAGGAGCCAAGGGATCTCCTTGTTTCAAACCTCTAGAGGACTGGAAAAAACCACATCTGAGGCCATTTATAATGACAGAATACTAGTTATTAGACAATGTCCTCCAAATCATATCAATGACCATCTCATTAAAACCCATCCTCATCATCATAATGCAAGTGTAGGCCCAGGATATTCTGTCATAAGCTTTGGCCATATCAAGTTTGATAACTACATTAGATCCAGCATTTGGTTTCTTGATCCCATGGACAATTTCCTATGCTAACATGATGTTTTCTGAGATGTTTCTTCCTTTTACAAAACTTGATTGGTTGTCTGAGATGACTCTAGGAAGAATAGGTGCCAATCTTGAAGAAATGACTTTGGAGATTACTTTGTTGATGAAGTTGCTTAAACTGATTGGTCTGAATTCTGTTAGAGAGTTGGGGAATTCCACTTTGGGAAGCATGACTATACAAGCATTAGTCATGTATTTGGGCATTGAGCTCCCTCCAAAGAAATCCAGAACCACATTCAAAAGGTCAGTTTTAATAATGTCCCAGCATGCTTGGTAGAATTTACCATTCATACCATCTGGACCAGCAGCACTTGTGGGACTCATTGAAAAAACCACTTCTTTGAGTTAAGCCAAAGTGGGATCAGTAGTGAGAGAGGTATTGTCTTCTGGGGTTATCAAGGAGGGGATACATGAAAGAAGGTCCTCTCTAATGTGGCCCCCTGGTTCTGAAAATAATTCTTGAAAATAATCACAGGCAGCATCCCCAATAGCATTGTCCCCATGAACCCAAGTACCCTCTGCATTCTTGATTTTGTGAATGAATAGTTTCCTTCTCCTTCCCCTAATGAGGCTGTGGAAGTACTTTGAATTAGAATCTCCCTCCTTGAACCATTGAAGCTGAGTTTTTTGCTTCAGAATGCTTTCTTCCAGCTTCAGGTATCTGATGTAATTTGCTTTGGTCTCATGAAGATTAATTCTGTCAGTTTCATCATTAGTGTTTGCCCAAACCATTTCAGCATTTTTGACTTGTTGTTCATATTCCCTGGATTTTTGGAAAATGTCCCCATATTCTTCCCTTGACCATTTACTCAGTCTCACAGATTTGAGTTTCTGATGAAAGACCCACATAGGCTTTCCCTGAACTTCTTTTTCCCAGATTTCTCTCACCAGTGACAGGAATTTCTCATTTTCGACCCAACAATTTAGGAATTTGAAATACTTCTTAGCAAAATCTTGTCTTTTATTGATCTCCATAAAGAGTGGATTATTATCTGAGCCAGTAGATGCAAGGTGGGTGATAGTGGTAGCTGGAAATGTAGAGAGCCATTGATCATTTACCAGACCTCTGTCAAGCCGCTTCCAGACCATAGAACATGGACCTCTTCCATTGGACCAGGTGTATATAGGTCCATAGTAACCAAGGTCAACTAGACCACATTCTTCCATCATACTCAGGAAATCCAAACTTTTACTCATTTGATATGGGAGACCACCTATTTTTTCTTCAACAGATGCAATGACATTGAAATCCCCTATTATACACCATGGATGAGTGTAATTGGTTGATTTGTGTCTCAAGATGTCCCAAAGTGGTCTTCTCATAGCAGGCTTGCATTTGGCATATATGACAGTGACATAGAAGGTGTTATCATCAACCACATGTCTCATCTCAAGGGATAATTGTTGTTCATCATGGTCTAAGACTTTAGCAGTGAAATCCTTGTCCTAGAAAACCCAGATTTTGTTATTGATGTTTGAAGCAGAATGGTCCGTGGAGAGTTGGAGTTGGAATTGGTTGATATGGGAGTGGTCAGCATGGTGCAGAATTGGTTCAGGGACAGCTATGAATGAAAGTTTGTGAATTTGTTTTAGGATTCTGAGTCTCTCAATGGCTCCAGAGTTCCTAATTCCTCTTGCATTCCATATGATTGTACTAATCATTGGAAAGAAGGGGTTGATTTGTTTTTTGGTGGGACACTGCTACTTCTAGCAGCTTTACTTCTTGTTAACCTGGGGGAAATTCTCATTTGGAGAGATTTTCTTGCAGATGCACTATTTTTCTGATTATCAACACCATTGACTGCAGCAATCAGGAGGTCACAGTGTTGCTCTGTTTCTGCTTCTTCATCAGTTTGATTAATGTCCTCCTCTTGTTGCTCTCCCATCTCATCCTCAGATTGGATGGGCATATATTCATCTTCTTGGGAAGAGTATTTATTGAGGGGGCATTGTTCCAGGGCCATTTCCAGAGGGTGTAGGTGTGGAGCAATTGTTGGATTATTGACAGGGGTGGGAGTTGATTCACTAGTTGGATGCTCAAAGTTATAGCTTTGATCTTTGTGAGAAATGAGGGGTTGGGATAGTGAGGGATTGGCTATTTCAGTGGATTTGTGTGCTGAGACATCATCCTCTGTAACCCCTGGATTCCAGCTTTTTTGGATAACAGGACTCAAAAATTGATTGCCATCAGGGGGGTCTGATGGCTCTTTGATAACTATCCTAGAGTTCTATTTTTTAATGCTTTTCTCTTTTTCTGACTGAGCTTATTTCTTGGTTTCTGTGGCTGAATGTGGAAATCAGCCTGAGCATGAGCTTTCCCTTCCAGAAGAGTTCTCATATGGTCTTCAAGATCTTTGTCTACAACCTCAGTACATTCATCAGATTCATCAGATTCAACAGGAGACCTTTGTTCATTTGCATTAGAGAATGTGGTAGCAGGAGTTGGCTGGTCATTCCTGTGGTCAGTCAATTGTGCTTTTGCACACTCATGCAAAACATGAGGAACACCCACCCCCTTTGGAACCCCTACCTGTTTCTCTACTGGTTTTCCCTGACATTCTCCCTTTCCTCCTTCAACTTCATCAACATTTATAACATCATAGGGATTGGGGGATTGGGATACTATGTTCTAAGCAACAGAACCAGAGTTCACCACAACAGTAGGACTTTGAGAGGTAGGAAGTATACCTGTTTGGTCATTGTAAGCATTGGTCATTGGTTTGGCTATTTCCTGCGACTGCTGTCCTGCATTAGTTCTTGGCACATAAATTCGCTGCTGCTTTTTGGTGTTGTTAGAATTGCCTTTGAAGTTTTTTCTTTTTTTGTGTTTGCCAGTTATCCTTTGGTGTTTCAGTGCTCTTGTGTTGGTGTTCTACACTCATTTGGTGTTCCATTTCCTGTTACTTTTCTTTTGGTGCTGCTTTTTGAGAATTTTGCCCACTCTGTTGCATTCCTCTTTGTTGTTGACTGGATGTCCCTGCCTCATTGCTGTTGTTTGGATTCCCTTTATGATTGGAGCTGGTTGCCTTATTTTCTTCCTCTTTTTTCCTCTTTCTTTCTTCTTCTTGCAACTTGATTTCACAAGTGAATTCTGAATGACCTAGGTGTCTACAATGGGTGCAATAGGCAGGAACATTATCATATTGAACCTCCAACCATTCTCCATCCCCATTCTCATCTTTCTCCTCGTCATATCCCAACCAGACATGGTGAGGTCTTGCCTTAGTTAGATCAATCTGGATTTTTACTTTGGCCACACTCCCCCTTGTTTTTTGAAATGAAGCCAAGTCTAGATACAATGTTTTGCCTATAGGAGAGAGTAGTGGTGTAAGGATTTCCATGTAATACAGATGCCAAGGCATCTCTGGGATGATCACCCATATAGGAACAATAGGTGAGTCCTCATTTGGCTTAAATGCAGGGGTCCAAGCTTCCAATTTAATCATTTGGCCCTGAATATACATGTGTTCTTTGCCCCAAACTATGGAATGGTCATACTCATTATCAAGATCTATATACACAGTTCTTGCATTGAAGTGAGCTATTTTGACCCCACCTCTGAGCTCAGTCTGTCTAATAAAGCTCTTCCTTATGACCTCCATTCTAGGCATAGTGTTGGAAAACTTACCTACAACTGTGAATTTGCATCTATCGGCAAATCTCACCATGTAGTCTTCCGTTTTGAATATCACTACTGGTTGACCTTGCTTGGTGGTTATCTTTGGGGGGGTGAAGGAGATGGGTTTGATTTCAACCTCATGTCTGGCTCTGAGCCTTGTGACATAAGAATGAGTGACTGTGGGGGGGATGGAGGAGAGTTTGCTGGTGGTTTGGTTTGGTTTGGATTGATACTTGGTTGGGGATTGGCAATATTAGCAGGAGTGATTTGGGGAGGTTGTGGTGTTTTTTCTGGAAGATTGGATTGATTCTTTTGGTTCATTTTTGGGATGTTTGGTCTGTCAAAATTGGAGGATATTTTAGGAGTAGCTGTGTTGGTTGATTTGTTTGCATGGTAAACAGTTAGGGGTACAGGATTTTCTCCATTGGTCTGCAGAGGTGCAGACATTGCTGAAGGATCAGAGATGTTGCCTGGGGTCAAAGTCTGTGGCTTTTGGAGTTGTGTTTCATTTTGGATTGTATCATGGCTATTAGGTGTTGGCATACCAGTAAAGTGATCACCTTGGCTTTGGTTAGCATTTGCAGTCTTATCCAGCACCTGAAGAGTTGGTATTTTTGGCTGGATATCTGTGGTGTTTTGGTTGTGCAATTGGGTATTAGGGGGAATGGGATTAGTGAGATTAGCAGAGGGAAGCATCTCCAATCGGTGATTTGTCAAGGGAACCTCAGCAGTACCATCATTGACCAACTGAGGAGGAGCTGATGACTTTGAAAATTCAGGGGGATCAGTTCTCTCACTAGATTGAGGTGAAATTTGGCAGATAGCATCCTTGGGGGTTAGGGAATGGGTTCCAATCAGAAAATTGGGATGGATTGAGGTAGAGGTTGCATTGGCATTTGGTCGAACACCGTTATTGCTACAGTGTCCCGAGTTGGTTTTTTTCAGATTCGAGAAGTTTGGCTCGTGTAAAATTTGATTTAGGGGTTTGGAAATGTTCTCCTAAGGGTTGGGAAGAGATTGGCATTGGTTTTGAACCAGTTGGTTCACTGGAACACCATGTCCGGCCAACTGACCAAAAGCTGAGATTTCCCCATGATCGAGCAGATCAATTCCCACATCATATTTGTTTGAAAATTTGCATACCTGTTCCTGAGATGATGTAGAAGCAATTGTGATTGGTTGCTGCATTTGAATTGGCCCGGAACTGAGGGGTGCATTTTGTCGAACACCTGAAGGTGGCAGATTGGCTGGGGAAGACGCTTGCAAAATTGACAGAATTGGTTGATACCCATGTGGAATTGGAGCTTCGATCCTGTTCTCCTCAGCAGAAGGAGCATTTTGGTACCCAGAACTTTTGATTTGGCCGGTTGGAACTCCTGTTCCGGCCATCTATGCTACTCCGGAGAAATTTAAGTGATCGTTCCCGGCGATTCCCACGGTGGAATTGTCTGAATTTTGGAGGAGAGGTGCGCAATAAGATGGAGAGTAATCTCTACGGTTTGAAAGTTCAAGATTTGACTCAGAGTTCACCAGAGAAATTTCTGAAGCTCCCAGTTGATTTTGATGAACAGTTATCGTAGCGCCAATTTGTAAATCTGTTGCAACTGGGATGGAATTTTGGAATGAGGTTTGTTGGATTGGGTGCGTGTTTGTGAGGCGCAAATTTTGGCGTTGGTCCGGTGGTTTTTCACCGGTGGACGGCGGA